TTTATCAGACCATGGAGGTATAAACACAAGGTAGAAAATTTGAGCACATGGCAGACTTAGTTTTTGTGACCAAATTACGTGTCATGGACTCCGACCACAATGAGTCAGAAGTGAAACACTTGTGCCCGGACTTGGCTACACCATGGCTACACGTAAAGCAGCTGTAAAAGCGTGTGTGTGAGCATCCTTGTTTTACCTGTTTTATTTTTCTTAATTTTCACATTCTCAATAAATAATTTGACGGATTCAATGAAGTTAGATTTGTTATACATGATATAGAAAGTGAACTGAATGTAAGATACCGGCAGTAGTCCCCGCCAGCAGTTGTTCCGGTACTATGTATTACGCATTTACGAGGCGCGGAATGTAAATTTATTATTTTGTGTATACCAGAAGAAAACGTGCTAATAATTCAAAATTACGTACGTATTGGAGGCCGTGGCGTGTGTGTTTTAAAATGATGTGTGCATTTAAAAAAAAACGGCATGACTGTGCGTTTTTAAGGTATGTGCTTTAAAAAATTATGTGTGTATATTAAATGGCGTGGGTGTTTTAAAAAACGTGTGTTTTAAAAATGACATGTGAATTAAAAATGATGTATGTCTTAAAATGACGTGTGTGTTTTACAATTATGTGTATTTAAAAAAACGTGTGTGTTTAAAAGGACATGTGTATTTTAAAAATGTGTGTTTAAAAACATAACGTGTGTGTAAGAACGATGCGCATGTTTAAAAACGACGTGTTTTTAAAAATGGCGTGTGTTTAAAAACGGCGCACGTGTTAAAAAAATGACGTGTGTTTTTAAAAATGGCGTGTGTTTAAACATGACGTGTGTGTTTAAAAATGACGTGTGTTTTTAAAATGACGTGTGTGTTAAAAACGACGTGTTAAAAAATGACGTGTGTTTTTAAAAATGGCATGTGTGAGGTCGAATGAAAATTTTGTGTGTGTAAAAAGAAAAAAACGCGTGCATTAACTTATTTACGCCTGTGGGGGCGCTGTTTGA